GCTGCGAAATGATGACAAATTATTTTCCTAAACTTGATGTTCTTTGTGGGTCCACAAAAAAAATGTTTCGCTAAAATGTGTGGCCAACAATAGAATTTAATTTAATTAAAAAGTTTTTTCGAATTCGAAACAAATGCACCGTGCACACTTTTTGAGGCGCCAGTATTTCTGAACAAATCGACAAAAATGAACGAAAAGCCACATTTTGAAATGGATTTTATCATAGATTGGGTATATCATAATTTTAGGAAATTTAGTTCAAGGTTCGATAAGAAATGGCAGTGTATATAAAATTGCACGGTGCAAGTTGTTAAAAGTCACGTTATCTAATAACTATATGGCAAGAGTAATGAAATATTTGTAAATATAATGAAAGCGTGACCTCAAAAATATATAGGTATTAATTTTAAAGCATCAAAGTTTTAAAAATTTTAAAAAAACCTAATTTTCATAACTGCACGGTGTAAAAATTCCAACTGCCATTTTTATTTAGATAAAACATGAAAAGAAATGTAAAATTGGGATGATTAATAGCTTAACGCCTAAAAATCATTATTACTTCATTTTCAAATATTTAAAATTTTTTTAAATTTTAGGAATTTAAAATTAAAAATTTGCACCGTGCAATACTTTCAACTGCCATTTTTATTTATATAAAACATGAAAAGTAAGCCAAATTTTAGTTTACCAATTATTTTAAAGCCTAAAAATTAATTTTAGGTCGACAAAAAAAAATAAATTTTAAAAATTGCACCGTGCAAGATTTAATAAACCTGCACGGTGCATTCAACACAGCCTGTTTTCGGCCAAAAATTATTTAAAAAACGTAATGACGACAAGCTTTTTTCAAGTCCAAACAAACAATTTTTTATATTTATATAGTCCAAAGAAGAAAAGTTTCAAAAATCATTGGAAATTGAAAAAAAAATGAAATTTTAATAAAGGATACGAGCTGTTTCTGGACCTAAAAATAACCTTGCACTTTCATCTTTGGCATTTCAAATAAAACTATCGGATTAGAGTTTAAAAACCACTTTATGAAATTTTGAGGATAAGTTGCAAGTACTTTCTTTACAAAAATTAAAATGGCAAGAACTTTCTTTAAAAAGCAAAAACTGGTAAGAACTTTCTTTACAGGGCATAAAAAAGTTTAAAAAATTTTTTGCACATTAATACAAGCCTGTAAATTTCATGACAAGGCCTAAAAACCGCTTTTAAAAAGTGAAAGCAGAGTGGAAGATTTGTAATGTATTTTGCACTGAAAATCTTTAACCTAACTTCCACTTCTAAAAAGTGTTAAAAACTCATTTTAAGCCATTTTAAGACATTTTGAAAATGGTAGTTGAGTGGAAGATTTTCAGTGCAAATTACATTACAAATCTTCCACTCAACTTCCACTATTAAAAATTTTAAAAATCGCTTTAATTTCATAAAAATTCAAAAACTAGCAAGAAATTTCTTTCCATCTTCTCCAAAAATATGTTTTATAATTAGAAAACAATGGCTAATACTAATAGGATCAGTTGGAAACTCGGTTGGGCGGTTTTTTCTCCCGAATTATCCCAAAAAAGGGCTCAAATTCACGCCTTTTTTAACGAAATTACCCCGACTCGACTACTAATACGTAGTAAACGAACGTATGAAACAAAATAATTTTGGACTTTTGATATGGAAACAAAGTTTTGGCGGTTTTTGAGAGTGGAATTTGAGTGGAAGATTTGTAATGTATTTTGCACTGAAAATCTTCCACCAAACTCCCTTTCCAAAAAAGTGTTAAAAACTCATTTTTAGGCTATTTTAGGACTTTTTAAAAAATGGAAGTTGAGTGGAAGATTTTCAGTGCAAAATACATTACAAATCTTCCACTTAACTTCCACTTTCAAAATTTATCGATTTGTGACCTCTTAAAGAAAGTTTTTACCTCTACATGCCTAGTAAAGAAAAATAACATTTCGGGCTATGTAAACAAAGTTTTCGCCATTCTAACATTTTAAAATTTAAAATTTGAAAAAAAATTTAAAAATTGCGAAAACTTTGTTTCCACCGTAACTTTCGTCATAGCTCCGAAGAAAAAGTTGTATTTTAGCTAATTGAAGAGTAGAAACGTATCGACTGTCACAATGTGACAGTCGAAAATGAAACGAAAAGTTTCCGGCGTTTCCGAGAATATTTGCATTTTTGATTCGTCAGTTCGAGAAGTTATTCTCGAGCCATTGCAAACGTAATGAAGCTTACAGTAAATAAAAAAATGTAGAAAAATGTTATCATATTAGGCTTAGTAAGTTTAGGTTTAACAGGTTTAGGCTTAGGCTTAGGCTTAGGCTTAGGCTTAGGCTTAGGCTTATGCTTAGGCTTAGGCTTAGGCTTAGGCTTAGGCTTAGGCTTAGGCTTAGGCTTAGGCATAGGCTTAGGCTTAAGTTTAGGCTTATACATAGTTTTCTTTTCAACGTGAAAAAAAATTACAGCAGATAATAACGTTCCCTCGGAGTAAAATAGAGCAAGATTGCCGTACTCGTAGTAATTTGTTGGGTCGTTTTACATCGAGGCAAGTATTATATAAAGTCATAATATTAAATAACAAAAAGTTGCGCAATACGATTTCTTGCAATTTCCCTAAGGCTATCTAGTTATATCAGAAAGTTAGGTAACAATGCAGATATTTTGGCTTGTGTTTTGCAGATAAATAAAAGGTTGGGTCATTTCTTTTTGATGGCGGGCTAGGGCTGGGTTGAGCTATTTTTTGAAAGTTTTAGCTAAATAAGAGTAGGTTTTGGGTTAGTAGGCCGAGGAGGCTTTACTGAATAGGCTGAGCAGGCTGGGCTTACTATACCTAGACTTAGCAGACTTGGCCTAAAAGACACAGGCTTACTAGGCCTATTTTGGAGAGGAGGAGACATATTCTGGTAAAAAAACAGTTCATCTACAAATGTTGAATTTCGAACTATTTTTTATCTTATCTACCACGTTGGGTAGGTTTTCTTGTTCAATAACAACAAAAAAAAGTTCAATTTAATGACAAAAAATACGTTTTTATACATAAAATAAGCTGTTTTAAAATGTCAAGGAACGGTCAAAAAGGTTTTTAAATCTAAAAAAACTTTTTTTTACGTTTTTGGTTATGGAAATCGGGTGGAAGATCTGTAATGTATTTTGCACTAAAAATCTTCCACTTAGATTCCATTTTTAAAAAGCTTTAAAATGGCCTAAAAACACTTTTTTAACACTTTTTGGGAGTGGAATTTTGGTGGAAGATTTCTAATGTAATTTACACTGAAAATCTCCCACTCAACTTCCACTTTTATTTTTTTCGTAAAACACATCTAAAAAGCGTTTGCTGTATTTAATGGATTTTGGCTTGAAACAAAATAGTGTTTCAGCATCAGAAAGACTGCTTTCTGATGTTAAATAGGTGTTTTTTCAATTGAAATGTGGTCGATAACAAGATCAGACATCAAAGCTGCTCTTTATCGGTTTTAACTGTAATATCATATATCACTGATAAGGGGTAATAGCTGTTAAATTTGTGTAAAATACGGCAAAAAAGTCAGTTTAAAATTTAAAAAACAATTTGAAAAATTTAGTAAAATGTACGTAAATCGAAAGATATTAGATTAAAAACACTTCCGAGAATCGGTTTTGGCTAGAAAACGGCTCTAAGACCACTTATGGGATAATATTATAGTAGGTGTGTAATGTAATGGACAACATCCCAAAACTACGTTTTTAATACTTCCTACACCGAAAAACGTGATATATGGCATTAAAATTGCATTTCCAGTATAGTTTTAGCTTGAAACGCAAAAAAAATTTTTTTTAGTTGTAGGGTTACGGTAGGTAAAGTATACCTATAGAACGCTTGGTACTAACGGGCAAAAAAACGTTTTTAAGTACTGTAACAGAATTACAAAGTAAGGTAATATATAGCTTTTTATAACCATCTCAAGCTTAAAAAATGGTAATTTACCTCAACAATTCATTTTATATTACACTAGGTACCAACCATCCCTTTAGTCATCAAAAATCCAAAACAACCAAAACCACCAAACTCAAACATGAAAAAAAGGTCAAATATGTCATATTATGACCCATAAATGTCATATTGACCAAAAAAATTTGAATTGTGTCGAATTACAACAACAAACATTAGCAGTGTTTAATTTCGTAGGCGTTATGACACAAACAAATGTATATGTCATGTAACATAATATCGGAAGTATAAATATACGTAAATTAGGTTTGAAATGACTTGAATTGGTTTAAAATATATTTTTGGTTTTTGAAATTTGGCCTACGTTGATGTTATGGGCCTATATTGCGATATTACTGTAGGCGAATATAATTTGTGCCAAAACTTATTACAAATTAGAGAATATTTGAGGTGTTTTAATGTTTGATAAAATAAAATTGCAGAATTTTACTTTTAAAATCATAAGACTTTCCAAAAAGTAATAAAAACCACTAACAATACGACTTTTATTAGGTCCCGCAACGAAAACGACGCTTGCTAAATTCTGTGGCATTCCGCTGTAAAATAAAATTTTATATTTTTTTATTTCCGTCTCTCCTTGTGGATTTTAGGGACAATCCACAGTAAATATTGCGTGATATTCATGAGCTTTAGGGCTGAAAAACTATTTTAGTTCTCAATTTACATTTTCATGATATATAATGGCAGTTTAAGGAGTTTATATATACGTTTTGTCTATCATAACATCGATGTTGTTTTAGACAAATTTGTTTTAGTTTTTGAGGACTTATTTATTGTAAACAATATGTGGTATATTAACTTACATACACTAAAAATTATATAAAAAAGTAATTTTTAGCTGGGATTTTGATAATCTTGTCTATGATAACATCGATGTCGTAGTAGATAAAAAATTTTCTTGGAAATTCGAAAAATTTGTTTTATAATAGCACGGTATGGCCTTTCTTAACGTTTTAAGTTAAAGGCTTTTCTTCTAAACTTAGTATTTGAGGTAATATGACCAATTGCAGGTATGGAACCACCAAGCCGAGGGAAATTAACCGGAATAGTCGCGCCCTTTCAGGAATCTTTATCAGAATGTCAACTAAAGTCAGATAAAGTGCTGGACGCTAATGACTTTGTTGTTCGGAACGTAAGTCTTCTAAAGCTTTTAATTTTTTTTCAAGTTTAGGTACGTTATACTATAAGTAGGTATAAACAACGCTCTAAAACAATATAACTGAACTAAACCCACAAAGTGAACCCAAAAAACTTGTGCTGTAGGATAAATGCCGGTTAATAACGTTGTCGTACTTCAGCCGCCAATTATCTTGCAGTAGCTTTTCGGACTGTAAACAAATTATTCGAACAAAACCTAAAATTAAAGTGCATATACGTTATTTACATCCGCTGATGGTGAATAATTTGACTTCCGGTTCTTTATGACCGCTAAATTGTAGTTAAGATAGTAAATAACGTTTTGCATATTGAGTTTTGTTGACAGCGTTTAGTATTTGTGAGGTACGAGCTATTTAAAATATTGTTATAGACATCAAAGGTGTTGTTGTGGAAAAATAAATCTAACAATTTTTTCTTTTGGTAACGAATTTGTTTTTAAAGCTAGATTATAGTTTGATAAAGCTAATATACGAATATCTGTTTCAAAATTTGAAGTTGAATGGTTTTAAGATATTGTTTTAAACATCAGAGACAGTTGTGGAACGATCAATCTAAAATAATATAAAACTGGTTTTTAGGTAACAATATCTTTTTTAGGGTTAGTGAACAATCTGATAAAGGTACTGCATAAAAGTGTTTTTAATAGCTTGGTTTTAAAGTTTTTTACGATATTGTTATAGGCATTAGAAGTGTTGCCGTTGAAAAATAGATCTAAAACAATATAAAATGGGTTAGTGAAATCTCGGGGAATGCGTTTTCGGGGAGTACATTTTCAGGGAGGAAGTTTCGGGGTATGGTATTTTCGGGGAATGTAATTTCGGGGTATATGTTTTCGGGGAATAATATTTTCGGGGAGTGAACTTTTCGGGGAAAATTTTTAATTACCCTTTTGAAGCCAAGTGTTTTTTACAAAGTTAGAAAATGGCCTTTTAAGGCTATTCTAAAAATATTTTTTGTAATCTTTAATTTTGGGTGTAGATATGATATTATTTTAGGCACCTCCAACGATCCGCTACATTCCAAATTTTATAACCGAAGAGGAAGAACAAGCTTTGTTGAGTCGAGTTTATACCGCACCAAAACCAAAGTGGCAATACCTAAAAGACCGAAGGTTACAAAACTGGGGCGGAATTGTTGGTAAAAATGGGTTGATCAGCGATGGGAACATACCTGAGGTAGGATAATAAGTTTTTGTGATTTTTAGGCTTTACATTGAATTTATTTTCATTTTTGATGGCGTTGTCAATAAGAATGGTTAAAAATAATATTTTTAGTGGCTTACGAATGTGATTGATCGAATAATGACGGTGGAGAATGGCTTTCCATGCAATAATCGACCAAATCATGTTCTGATCAACGAATATCTACCTGGTCAAGGAATAATGGTAATTTTTCATTATGGTCGTTTGGTATTTAGGTTAAATTTGGTATCAAAAGAAAGCTGAGATCGTAACGAAGCTAATAGTGTATTAATCATGATATATATGGGCAGACCAAGTTGAGTTTTGTTCTGATTTGTCTAAATTATTCATGGTTTTTAGCCTCACACTGATGGACCGGCCTTTTTCCCATTGGTATCGACTATATCGTTGGGTTCGGCTACGTATTTGGACTTTTATAATGTTATTGAACAGGTGAGAGCTTTGAAATTTTTGAAGAAAACTTTTTGGTGCTATATAGTACGAACGAGTAGTATATAGTATCAAATGTTATTTTTTGTTTTTTAATAGCAATTTATAATGAGTATCAAACAAATTTTTATAAGTTCTTACTATATAGCACGATACTGTCATATAATACTAAATAGCACCATTCCAGGGCCAAGAGAATCCATCTCCAATAGCCGAAAGATTTTTTGGTACTATGCTACTACAGCCTCGTAGTTTAGTACTAATCAACTCCGAAGCCTATAGTACTCATCTTCATGGAATTGCGGAACGACCGGTCGATGTTGTCCATGACAAGATCTTCAACCGACCACCTGGACTGCAATTGCAAGAAAGCCACCCTAGACAGACTAGAATCTCGTTGACAATTCGAAACGTGCCGAACGTTAAGAAGATCAATGTTCTTCAGATGCTACAGAAGCGTTGATCGCTTCTGTATGGTACTGTGTTGTCTTAGTTGGTGCTGTATAGTACTGTGGGGTGTAAAGCTGGATTTTGGGCTTTAAAATGGTTTTTTATGACAGATAGTGCTATGTTGTACTGAAAAAAATAGTTTTTAGGTGGTACTGATTAGTACTATATAGCACGAGGAGTAAAAATAGTGCTATATTGGGCAAACAAGTAACTTATTGTTAAAACTAGTATTATTTTCTACTGAAAAGTATAACTTTGTACCATGTGGTGTCTTATAGTACTATATAGCACCATATAGTAATAAATAGTACGATAGCTTTATTTTAGCACCAAGAGTACTAACGAATGCTGATTAGAGTCAATACAGTATCAATGTTATTAATAGTACCGGATATTTTGGTACCAAAGTGTTAAATGTGATTCTTGTTGCTTTATGTTGTTATAGTTATTTTTGTTGTTATTGTTGGAAATAAATTGAAAATGTTAGTATAGCATTAAATTCCTTTACAGTACGTTGAATTTAATACATTTATATATAAGTTAAATTTTGGCATGAGTGAATGGTCCAAAGTATTCTACTCCTGGAATAAAAAAGTCTGTGCCGATTGGGTGGTCTAAAAAGGTGAAACTTTAAAGATATTTAAGCCTAAGGCTACTAAGTTTAAACTTAAGCTTACTAAGGCTAGGTCTACTAATTTAAAGCCTAAACCTACTAAGCTTAAGCTTACTAAGCTCAAGCCTACTAAGCTCAAGTCTACTAAGCTTGAGCCTACTAAGCTTAAGCCTACTAAGCCTAAACCTATTAAGCCTAAGACTACTAAGCCTAAGTCTACTAAGTCTAGGCCTACTAAGCCTGAGCCTACTAAGCCTAAGCCTAAAACTATTAAGCCTAAGCGTACTAAGTGTAAGCCTACTATTCTTAAGTGTACTAAGCCTAAGCTTACTAAGCTAAAAGCTATCTTGCTTATTATTTATTAAAATTAAGCCTATACCTCCTTAGTACCAAACCTACCAAAGCCAGTCTAAAATCAAGCCGAAATTCGTTAATTCTAAGCCTACAAGATTTGGCTTCTATAGTTTATATTACTATACTCATATTGAATTTCTTCATCTCCTTATATATCTAGTTGTCGTAGTTTACCTTTGACAAACGTGTATCGATCCATATCCGTAACCCCATGCTCCTGTAGTATCTCATCATCAATCACGAACTGACCACTAAACTGTCGACTATTCTTGCTCAAAATCAAGTAGGCCGAGTCGGCCATAATGTCATCCTTGCGACAAAAGTTCCGGGCCTCTTCATCGTTACTGGTCAACGTAATCGCCGCCGTCCAGATGGCAGTTCGCGGCCACAACCCATTCACCGCGATGCCAAACTCTTTAAACTCGTGTGCCATCCCCAATACACACATACTCATGCCGTACTTGGAGATCGTGTATCCGACGTGATAGCGGAACCATTGTGGGTCAAGAAGTAGGGACGGAGAGAGGTTGAGGATGTGGGGGTTGGATGCCTTTTTTAGGTATGGAAGACAGGTTTTTGAGCTGAAAGTGACTTTTAAATGTATGTTCAAAAATTTTTGATAATTTTTGTCATTTTTACGGAATTTAGATACTTTGCAATTGGTTTGAAGATTTTAGCTTAACTTTGAAAAAAAGTGACATGTTATACGATGGAATATTTCCGCAACATAAAATTTTTAAAAAAGTTTTAAAAATGATTTTGTTGAAGTCTTTCAAAGCTCAAACATTGATTTTCATTACCTTTCTTCAAACAGAACTCTAAATATTAAAAAAGTGACATGTTATACGATGGAACATGTCCACGCCATAATATTACAAAAATCAATATAATCATGAGTTTTTTGAAGTACACTTACACTACTTTTTCAATTTTACTTTATTTTTTCGATATTTTTAATTGTTTTATTAAAAAGTGACATGTTATACGATGGAACATGTCCACAATAAAAAAATTTTTGAAAAATTAAAAAAATGATTTTTTGGGGCCTTTAAGGCCTAAATATAAATTTTCATAAGCTTTCTTCAAACAGAACCCTAAATACTTTTAAAAAAGCGACCTGTTATACGATAAAACATGTCCGAAAAAAAATTTTTAAAAGTGAGAAAAGAAAAATTTTTGAACTTTTCAAAGCCTATCTTAACTCCGACACCTACCTTCTCTTACTTCATATTCATACCCATCTCCCCACCCCTACCTATACTCCTGCCCATATCTCTAACGATACCCCTACCCCTATTCCTACACTTGTCTTTACCCCTACCCTTACCCATACCTACACCCATACCGATACCCACACAGACAGCCATACTCATACCCTTCCCCATACTCATATCAACTCCCGTACCCCATTCCCCCACCTTTTCCTATACCTACACCCCTACCCTTATCAATACCCTTACCCATAGCTCTATCGATACCCATACCCCTACTATTACTCATAACCATACCATATCCTTACCTCTACTCCTACCCCATACCCTTACCCAAACCTCACCCCTACCTACAGTAAGAAAGTGCCTCTAGTGTTGATCTGTTGCATTAGATCGTATCTCTTCATGTCAGTCTGTTCAGTTGGGGTTGTGCTGATGGCTGAGGCGTTGTTGAGTAGTATATCAATACCTCCGAAGTGATCGACCGCCTTTTTGACCGCTTTTTCGACCTCTTCTTCGTATCTCACATCCATAACCAATGGTAGACATTTACCTCCAACTGCTTCGATCTCCTTGGCTGCTGTGTATATTGTACCTAGAAACGGTATGGGTTACTGTAGGGTACGGTAGGGTTAGCGTGGAGTTTAAAATTAAAAAATAAAGTTACAGTACACTCTAGGGCATAGTGAGATAGAGAGTAGGGATAGGGTAAAATAGTGTACTGTATGATACGGTAGGGGAAGGTAGGGTAGGATACGGTAGAGTAGGGTATTAGTAGGCTAGGGGTTGGGATAAAAATAAAGTAAAATAGAGTACGGTAGGTGACGGTAGGGTATAATACGGCACGGTAGGATAGTGGTAGAGTAACGACAAGCTTATGAATACGGGAGGGGTAAAAGTAAGGGTTGTGGTAGGGTAGAGTAGGGTAGGGCAGGATAGGGTAAATGAGAAGCTAGGGAGTGTAAAAAGTAGAAATTAATGTACGTACCAGGCAATTTAGGATGAGGCTCGGTTGTCTTGGCCGCGATGACGATATTGGCCCCATCCCTGGCCAGCTTCTTGGCTATGGCTAATCCAATTCCTCGTGATCCGCCCGACACAAAAACGGTTTTTCCTTTGAAATACCTAAAGCAATAACTCTATTTTACTGTATTTTATGAAGACAGCTCAACACTGTAACGTATTTTACAAATTTAAAAGCAAGGCGACATGTTATACGACAAAACATGTTTTTTCAAAAAAAGTTTTTTTTTTTAAAGTGTCATTTTATATCTTATACGATGTCAAAACATGTTTAAAAACAGTCAAAAATCTTCAAAATTTACTTACCCAGTATTATCGACCATAATTGTCAACCGTTATGTTAAAGTACCAGTATTACTATTATAAGCCTAAAAGCATGGATAATATTAGAAAATAAGCCTAAATAAAAAATTTTAAAAATTAAAATAAGAAACCCGTTTTCAATAACACAAGAAAGAATAAAACAAACATATCACTTCACTTCTTGTAGTCCCGTTGATAAATATACATGCAAGTGTTTGTTATTAATAAACTCCACTTTCTATAGTTTGTCACAGTTTTCATAATTTTAAGTACAAAACACAAAAAAAACTTTAAAAATGATTAAAAAGGTGAAAAAAATAGTTAATAAAACAGTCCCTAAGCCTAAAAACACGTTTTTGAAAATTTCTAAAAAGGAAGTGCGGTGGAAGATTTGTAATGTAATTTGCACTGAAAATCTTCCACTTAACTTCCATTTTTAAAATGTCTTAAAATGACCTAAAAACACGTTTTTAAAACTTTTTAAAAATGAAAGTTATGTGGAAGTTTTTCAGTGCAAAATACATTACAAATCTTCCATTAAACTTCCACCCCAAAAAGTGTTAAAAACTCATTTTTAGGCCATTTCAAGACTTTTTAAAAATAAAAGTTGAGTGGAAGATTTTCAGTGCAAAATACATTACAAATCTTCCACTCAACTTCCACTTTTTTAAGCAGGCCATAACTTATTTCTATCAATTAAAAGTACCAAAAAAGCATTTGACGGGTTTAAAAAGCTGCAAAAATGTCATATTTAAAAATCAGTCTACTTGAAAATGTCATATCTCACATCAGTCTATCTGAAAATGGCATATTTTAACCAGTCTACTTAAAAATGTCATATATCCTGCCAAAAATACAAATTTCAAAAAATTTTTATTCTAATCCAAAAATATATATAGGTATTGATAGTCCAGTCCATCTAGTCATACATCAACCTTGGCCAAGCTTGGCCATCTCTCAAACTAGACTAGCTCACTTTCACTTCACGGCTAGCTCGGTGGTTATGATCTCGACCTGGTTGTTGGGGTTGTCCGAGTAGATGTTGATGGGCAGAGCAAACTTGTAGGTACGGCCGTCGGAGCGGAGGCTGATCTTCAGAATGCGTTTGGCTTTGAAGCGGCCTTGACCGCCGCCTAGACTGACGCCGTCGGCCGTGGCTACGAGGCGGTGGGTTCGGCTGCACTTGGCTTGGCTTGGTGAGGCTGGTTTGGGATTGTTGTTGGCTGAGGGCTTGGCTTTGTGGGCTGGATCGGAGGGCTTGACCTTGTTGTAGGCAGGGCCAGAATCCTTGTTCTTCTTGTAGCCAGAAGCCATGTTGTTATTGTAGCTAGATTCAGAATCCTTGACCTTATCGTAGTCAACTCCAGAACCTCTGCCTTTCTTCTGACTAGCTACAGCCTCAGCAATGTTGACGTAGCCAGGCAATTCCTTAGTCCGTCTCTTCTGAGCTCCAGAATCCTTGTAGCTAGCCTTTTCTTTCGCAGAAGCACACCGTAAAGAAGTTTCTGAAGCCTTCCGTGAAGATTTAGAATCCCTTTTTGCCAAAGATTCAGAAGCCTTCCGTGACGAAGACCTTGAAGCACATCGTGATGAGAATTCAGAAGCCTTCCGTGCCAAAAATTCAGAATTCTTTCGTGAAAAGGCTTCAAAAGTCTTCCGTGAAGGAGATTCAGAAGCATGTCTTGAAGAAGATTCAGAATCCACCTCACTGTTCGATGGATCCCTTCCCTGTTGCTTCAACGCCAGACGCTGTGACTTCTTTCTGTAGCGTGTTATCAAATCGCTGGGGCTTCTGGAGCCCGCTTCTCGGCTTCTAAAGTTTGCACGATCGGCTCCATAGCTTCTGGGGCTTTGTCGATGAAGTTCAAACTTCTGTCGATAAACCTTTGTTGCTCCTTGGCTTCTGGATTTGGCGCGTTTGGATTCAGATTTTTGAGAATAAGATTCTGAGTTTTGACGATCAAATTCTGATTTTCTACGGTGTAATTCTGACTTTTGACGGTGAGATTCTGATTTTCCATAATCAAATTCTGACTTTCCACGATGAGCTACAGCCTTACCACGATGCCCTTCAGCCTTCTCACGACCATTCACAGGCGATCCTTGACTGATAGACTTCTGACGATGAGCTCCAGAAAAACCACGACTTCTGGACTTCTGACGACACAGCTCTGAAGATTCATGGATTCTAGACTTCTCACGATGTGCTACAGAAGCATCAGCACGTTTTCTAGCCGTTCGTGAAGCCAGGTTCTTGGATTTGTAGCTTGATTCTTTACCGTGACCTTCTGAAGTTTGCTTCTTCCATCTGAATCCTTCACCGTGAGCTTCAGAATCTTCACTTCCAAACTTTCTGACTTCAGAATCTTCGCTTCTACCCCTTTCAACATCAGAATCCTGCCCAAAACCTTGATTTCCAGAAGCTCCAGAATTCGTTTCATCAAAGATATTCCGACACGCTACACCACTGTAGCCCGGATCCATGTACTGACATCTGGAGAACTCCTTCGACTGACTTCTGGAGTTCGACAAACTTCTCAGCCACGCACCGTACATTCCGGTATGAACCACAGTACGATACTCAGGTTGTTCGGCACGATATAGGACGCATACTGAAGCTCTTCTACGTCCTAGCTCAATGCAGGAATGACTTCTGGGCTCACGGTTCACGGACAGACTTCTGAGCCGCGCACCGTAGAGACCGCGGAACGCTGAGGCACGGTTGTAGGCTTCTAAAAAAATTGAATTTTTAAATTAAAGTTTTGAAAAGATTTAGCAATTTCATTAATAATTTGAAAATTTTTAAAAATTTTTTAGTTTTTTTAAAAAGCGACATGTTATACGATCAAACATGTTTCATAGTATAACATGTCGCCTAACAAAAAAAGAAAACTTTTTATCACAAAACTCATTAAGAATGACCCAAAAGGCCTGTTAACACCATTATTTTCAGTTTTTATATAAAAAAGCGACATGTTATACGATGAAACATGTATACGACAAAACATGCTTCGTCGTATAACATGTCACCTAATTAATAATGACAAACTTTTTATCATAAAAATTGTTAAGAATGTTCCAAAAAGCCTACGAAAACTAAATTTTTCAATTTTTATAAAAAAGAGAAATGTTATACGATCAGACATGTGTAACATATTTCATCGTATAACATGTCGCTTAACAAAAAATTACAAACTTTTTATCATAAAAATGGTCGAGAATAGCCCAAAAAAGCCTACAAAAACTAAAAATTTCATTTTGTATTAAAAAAGCGACATTTTATACGATGAAACATGTTTCCAACTTTCAAAAATATAGGGTATCGTAAATCACTGTAACTTTGTCATTTATCAAAATTTCGAAAAATCGTTTTCAGGCTATACGACAAAAAGACTATTCTATATTTTGTAAAAGTTTCAAAAATTCATCTATCTTTAACAAAAAGTTATGGCATAAAGAAGTTGAGCTACATCACCTACCTCTTTGAGCTTCAAAAGTACCCCTTTGAGGTCCACCAACTCCACCTTGAGCATATCCACCTCTTCGTTGAGCACTTCCAAATCCAGCTGAACTAATCGTTCTTCTAGTTCTTGGTCTGGATTGGCGGCTTTCGGCTGGACTAGGCTTTTGCTGCTGAAGATTCGCGTCTCTGTCTACATTAACAAGACTGATATAAGATGGGCTGGTGGGGGTGTCTGGGTGTTTGTCTTCATTGACAATAATTTTAGCTTCTTTCGGACTGTTTTTGGTCTCTTTGGTGCTTTTTCTTCCTTCTTTTGTGGTTTCTTTTCTTTTTGTTCTACTTTTATTTCTTTCTGTTCTTCTTTCATTTCTTTCAGTTCTTCCTTTAGTTCCTTCTGTTCCACTTTTCATTCCTTTTTTTGTACTTTTTTCTTCTTTTGTTTCACTTTTTCTTCCATTATTTCTAATTTTTCTACCTTCTTTTTCACTTTTTCTTCCTTCATTTCTACTTTTTCTTCCTTCTTTGTTACTTTTCGTCCTCTTTTTATCCAAAATCGTGTTCATCTTCGCCTTCTTAGCACGATACATTGAGTTCATTCCACATCCAGTACCATCATCGTCTTTGGTTCGCTTTTTGCCTGGACTAACACCATAGATCATTGGACTGGAGCCCTTCTTTTTCTTGACCTGTACCACTTCATTCTCGGCCCATTTGACTGGTTTTGAGGCTGAACTGGGCTGCTTTGAGGGCTTGGCTGGTCTTGTATTACAGTATGGTCTACTGGTCGATACAGTAATGCAGGTCGATTCTGCATTACTGTAGGGTGCACTGGTCGATTCTGCACTACGGTATGATCCACTGGTCGATTCTACAGTACTATTAGAGTGCTTGGTCGATTCTGAATGGTACTTGCCTGGTGACATGCCCATGACGTTCTTGAACTCCTTCTTGAAGTCGGCTACACTGATCAGCCTTTTTTGGCTAGCCAAATCATTGCCACTTCTTTTTTGGCTAGCCGAGCCATTTCTTCTTGGACTACTCTTATCACTGCCATTTCTTCTTAAATTAGCCAAACCACTGCCATTTTTAACCTCATACTGCCTTGGTCGATGCTCACAGCTAGGCTGGCGGGTTCGGCAATTGCACTTGACTGGCATCAGCTTGTTGGCTCGGCGTTTGGCTTCGCAAAAGGGCTTCAGACACTGTCTGGGCGGCTTGGCACAGCCGGCTATTTTAGCCGGGCAGCCAGTTTCGCTTTCCGAAGACTTGAACCGGCTTACTGTGGACTTGGAGCGGCTGGCTAGTGGCTTGGACTGGCTAGTTTTGGGCTTGAACTGATTTTGTTTCAGCTTGGACTGACCATCTTTCAACTTGGACTGGCCCTCTTTCAGCTTGAACCGACTTCCCTCATGCTTAGGCTGGTTTTCAACTTCCGAGTGGCTAGCCGAATCTTTGGACCGACTAATAGAGCTCTTGGACTGCTTGGACTGGCTCGATTTAGACTTGGATTGGCCGTTATAGGCATTGATCCGGCTGACAGATGACTTTGACCGGCTAGCTGAGGTCTTAGATCGGCTAGCCGAAGTCTTGGACCGGCTGGCTGAGGCTTCAGAGCGGCTAGCTGAGCTCTTGGATCGGCTAGCTAAACCCTTGGACCGTCTTTTTCCATTAGCTTCTTTTCGACCGGTCGATTTTCGTTTAGCCTCTTTTCGACCGGTCGATTTCCCATCCTTCTCAGCCAACTGTCCTGGACTATAATCTCGACCAGTCACATTCTTCGGAGTCATCAGTCGATCTCTGGCCGTCACCAACCGTGGGCTTCGGTCTCGACCGGTCGATATGGCTCCATCAGTACCAGTCGTCTGTTTGGGACTTTTGGTACTGTTGGTACGATTCTTAGCCAAAATCCGAATATATTTGGCGTCGCGATCGGATAGCTGGATCGGCGACTGACAGTTGCGTATTCTGACCATATTATCCTTGCCAATACGACCAGTTTCGTCTTCAAAATCGACCGGTTTCAGCTTTTTGGCACCAATGCCACTATTGATTTTTCCGTTCAAACTGCCATTTCTTATTGAACCCCCAACAAAATTGCCATTCTGATCCAATCTCACTTCCACTCTTCCATTCTTGGCCGCATTCGACCGGTCGAAAAAGTAGTCCAACAACTTTTCATTGGTACCATCAACGTTTGGTACACTGGTACCAGTACCACCTTTGCATAGTCCCAAAAGCGAGTTTTTGGCAAAAGTTTTGCCCTTCGACCCACTTCTCGACCGGTAATTGAGAAGTCGTTGGCGTGGGCGGGTATGGCGCAGCTTCTGCTGGCGGGTGGGTTGAAACTTGTAAATGGGCAGGGTACGGTGCTTCTTACGGCAGGTGCCTTGGATACTGGCCAGGAGGTTGTTGTGCGCTGAAATTAGAAACAATAGACTAATTTATTGCAAATTTTCAAAATTTTTTATCAAAAGCGACATTTTATACGATAAAACATGTTTTTTAAGTTTGTACACTTTTCATCGTATAACATGTCACCAAATTACAAAAAAAATGTAAAAATTTAAAAAATATTAATAAAAAACCATTTTTAAACCTATTTTCGTCATTTTTCAAAATTTTTTACCAAAAGCAACATCTTATACGATCAAACATGTTTATTGATTATGGACATATTTCACCGTATAACATGTCACCAAATAACAAAAAACGATAAAAATTATAAAAATACTAATGAAAATGCCATTTTAAAACCTATTTTTGCAATTTTTCACAATTTTGCATTAAAAGCGACATTTTATACGATGAAACATGTTTCTGTTGTCAGGCAAGTTTCATCGTATAACATGTCACCAACTAAAAAAATTATAAAAAAATTTAAAAAATATTAATAAAAATGGCATTTTTTTGCAAATTTGTAAAACTCTTCGATTAAAGGCGACATTTTATATGACGCAGTATGTCCAAACCAAAAAATATGTTTGATCGTATAACATGTCACACAATAACAAAAAATAACAAAAATTTTAAAAATATTAATGAAAATGTCATTTTAAACCTTACTTTTGCAAATTTAAAAATTTTTTGATTAAAAGCGACATTTTATACGCTGAAAAATTTTTATTGCTTCTGGACATATTAGATCGTATAACATGTCCCCTTTTCACGAAATATTCAAATTTTTTATAAATTTTTAAAAACCTACGATGTCCAGTACCAACAGAATCCGATTTCAGGTACTCATCCGGGTCTTTGCTCAAAACGTGCGATTTGGAAACAACTTTCTTTCCAACCAACGTCTCCTGGCGGAACGATCGTCTCGGCATGTTCGATTCCGACCGTTCCGAGATGGCCTTCGACTCAGATTGAGACTTGTTCAACTTGGTACCGGTGGACTTGTTTTGGTACTTCTTTTGGTCTTTTTAGTCATCATTTTTGGCTTTTTGGTCGATTTCTTGGCCGCTGATCGGCCCGCCTTCTTCTTAGCAAAACACTTGGCCACATAGGCTTCGGATCGAGATTGGCGTGGCATCGACGTTGACATACTTGTGGCTGACTTGGAGCGGCTGGCTGAAATGAAAAGTTTAAAAGGTGACAAGTTATACGATAAAACATGTCCAAATAAAATTTTTAAAAATTTAAAAAAAATAGTTTTTGACACCTGCCAACTTTTAATACAACACTCATTGCCATTTTTAACTATAATAAAGTCATTTTTTACCAATTTTCAAAAAAAAAATTAAAAGAGACATGTTATACGATAAAACATTTCCAAGACAAAAAAGACATTTTTTATCGTATAACATGTCACCTTTAACGCAAAAAATACTAAATTAGAGTAAAATAGCAAAAATATCCTCCGAAGTATTCAGTCAAATCATAAAATGTCTTAAAAGAGACATGTTATACGATAAAACCAGTTTTTTTCACTAGATATGTTCCATCGTATAACATGTCCCTATAAATAAAATTTTTTGATTTTTGGTTTAAAGATTGCTCTCAGTATCATAGAATTATATTTTCATTTTTTATATCGATCACCTTTAAAGTGACATCTTATACGATCAAACCTGTCCAATAGCAATAACATGTTTCATAGTATAACATGTCCACATTTCAAAAAAATAGGCTTAAAATGCCTTTTCAAACAAAATTTCTCAAATCGTTCTATAAAAACCATCAAAACTCACGTCGACTAGCCAACTTCTCCCTCAATTCCACCTGACTTCGGGCGGGCGTGGGTAGGCTGTAGTAGCTGCCCAACGCCTTGGCCACTTCGCTCGCGCTAGCCATAACTTCATGAACTCGTTCCGAGCTGTCTGTTCGGCCAAATTCTTTCTTAAATGATTTGCCACGGCTCGGTGAGCGTTTCTCAGGCTTGGTTTTTGAGATTTTGTCGTTGGACGGTGAGCCTTGACCTTGACCTTCGTCCTGATTCTTGAGACTGTCAAAGTCTAGGACCAGTGGAATGGAGGGGTCTGGTGCAAACGAGCTCTTTGGTGCATCTAAAATGGTGGTTTAAAGTTTTTTTAAAACATTTTTGAAAAGCGACATGTTATACGATAAAACCTGTCTCTTACACTAGCCACGTTTTATCGTATAACATGTCCCACAACCTCTTCAAATCAAAACCATCCCAAGTTTTAGCTCAAACACATAATACTTTTGACAAATTATCTAAATTCTACTTACTTTTTGACCGACTTTCCCGTTTGGCTTCACGTTTCAGGTCCGTGATGGGGTTGACATAGCCTTTCGATCGACCAGTCGGAGTCTTCTCTGGCATGTCCTTTCCCACAATTGTTTCAATCACTGGGCTTTTGACTTTTTCAACCTTCTGAAACATAAATTGTTACCTATTTTAACAAAAATTAGTGATAATACTAAAACAATAAAAAAATTTAAACATGTTTCATCGTATAACATGTCGCTTTTTTCAAAATTTTAAAAATATATTAGTCGGGCATGCTTTTTAAAACCATTTTTAATAAGATTAAGCCCTAAAATTTTCATATTTGAACTTCAGTGACATGTTAAACATGTTTAATCGTATAACATGTCGCTTTGTTCAAAATTTCAAACATCTTTGTTTAAAAAATGAAATAAATAACCAAAAATGAAGTTAAAAACCAAAACTTCTTCTACTTTTTCAAATTTTTCTTAAACGTGTCTTCCCAAAAAATTTTAAAATTTCAAAATTCGGCATGAAAAATCGAAAAAAAAATTACAATAGGATGTTTAGGCTTGTTTCCAGTCTTGTCAGACAAATCTGGTTCAGACACTTCCGGTTGGTCATCTTTTTGGCTCTTGAAACGAAACTGAAAATAAGCATGAATGAATAAGCCTAAGACTTAAAGTTAAGCCTAAAACCGCAATTGTAAGGCTAAAAATCCCAAGTAATAAATCTAAATTAAAACCTAAAAGGAACTTTTGAAAAATGCCATAAATTAAAGTTAGGCTTACATTTAGTTAAAATAAGCCTAAACGTTAAACTAAAACAAGAAAACCTACTGCCATCCTTATCGACTGTTCCAATGTGATCTCCGGTTCGAACAAACCCAGATTTAGTGGCACAGCCGTCCGCGAGAAATGGAATTCAAGAAATTGATTGAAATTCGAAGAAAATTGCCTAAATCGCATTTCAAAACGGAAAAATTTGCATATTTGGTAAAATTTTCAAAAACCTTGATTTGACCTCTTCCCTCATTTCAAATTACACAATTACTATCACTTGTTTCCTGCCTAAAAATAAAAAAATTTTCAATAACATCCTTAAAGCCTATGACAATATAAAATCTGCTCTTCCTTCTAAAATGGTATCTAAAATACTCAAAAAATGTTATAAAAGCGCAACATGATTCGTACAAAACTTTAACTTACTTCCAATCCTGATTTGGTACATAAAATTTTGTCTCGCAGCGCGAGCATTTGTCGCTTGAAACACAATGCCAACAATAAGTTTTAGAAATTTATTTTATTTAATAACATTTTGCAGATGTTGCTGGCACGGGCTTCTGAATGATTTTTGCTGCTTTATGGGTTGGTTTTTTTATATGGACTGATTTGTATGGTGATGTGATTTCTTGGGGTCAGTATGAAAGCTATTTTCTTGGTTTGTTGGTTATTTTTAGGGTTTTAGCTATTGCGTTTTTACGTTTTATGGATTTGTTTGAAGACGGCTTTTAGCGTACCGGGCTGGGCTGACAAAAAATTGAAACGGACCGGTTGGAAAATGGCGTAGCCCAAGTCGGAAATAGATCTGCCCGTCGTCCATATCTAACGTAAACCTTTTCTTAACTCTGCATAAACAAGAAGAATTCTAAGGCAATTACTGGAGTTTTGACTGTTCCTATTACAAAGGAAACTGGTTTGATGTGTCATGATGTTTAAACTGAATGAATAAAGTTGAATTTACAATTCAAATTTAACTTTTTTTACTTAAAAAAGCGTCTTTTACTTTTTTTATTTTTGTATTGGGGATAGATAAAATCCGGAACGGCCAAAACCTTCATCAAAAGCATAGTCGAGACACCGCTGTTTTAAGGATTTCATAAACTGTTTAACCTTATAATTTCAAAATGGCTAATTCACCTGTTGGTAAGTGATTATTGAAAACACTTATTCCATGTTATTTTAAACATCCGAAAGTCAGTATTGTTTTATGTATTCTAACATAATCTAATTTAAAGGTACGTTTTAAAAACTTTAAGGTAATTTATATTACATAATAGTAATTGACTTTGTCATTTCTTGATATTAACATCAAATTACATTATTGGACTTTATTGTCCGTTTGAGTCATTTAGTTTTTGGCGAGGGTTGTTACTAGTACTTGAAAATGAGTTTTTGGGAGTTTTTTTAAAAATGGAAGCTGAGTGGAAGTTTTGTAATGTATTTTGCACTGAAAATCGTCCACCATACTCCCATTTTTAAAAAGTCTTGAAATGGTTTAAAAACCCGTCTTTGACATTTTTTAGAAGTGGAAGTTGAGTGAAAAATTTTCAATGTAAAATGCATTACAAATATTCCACTCAACTTCCACTTCTAAAAACACTTCCCTGCCGTCAATATAACAAGCATATGTATGTCTTACAGAGTACTATCATCCAATAAGCAGACCAAATGACAACAAATACCACGTATAGTACTCTTCAAACTACTAGTACTTCACAAAATAGTATTGTTTCAACAGTACTATCAAAAATACTGCATGACCCTTCAATTTACTGTGAAGATCAAGATGCCCCATTACCTCTAAATTATGAGATTTATTACCTAATTGACTACCTAGAACTATTCCTAATTGTACTATCGGCTAGTACTATAGCTATAAATGCGTATGTCTTTTTATTAGTCAAGATATTCCATCGTACCACGGTAAAAATGTTTGGTTGTGTTGTTTGGAACTTACCTTTTTTGCAAATGACAAGAATTTTTGTCATCTATTTTTATTGGCAAGAGGGCAGGCCTGCTGGTAATGGTTTTTTTATTAATTGATTTAGGTTTAGGTAACAAAAATCATTTCCTATATAATTTTAGGCAACAAAAATTAGCTTTTTGATATTTTAGGTAATAAAAATTAATTTTTTTTTGTAATTTAGATAACAAAACTGATTAATTTATAATTTTAGGTAACAAGAATCATTTTTTGATATTTTAGGTAACAAAAATTAATTTTTCGAGATTTTAGGCATATAAATTAGTTTTTCGATAGTTTAGGTAAAAAAACTTAGCTTTTTGGTATTTTAAGTGACAAAAATTTTTTTTTTATAATTTAGGTAATAAAAATTAGTTTTTTTGAAATTTTAGGTAACAAAAGATTTTTTTTTATTTTTATTTAAAAATTATTTTTCAGTTTTTGATTTATTTATTTTAGCCACCCTAACCCGCATAATAAATTGTAATGAACAAGCCCAAATAGCAGAATATTTACATTATGGTTTTATTGCATCATATTTTGTCTCTATGTCCGGCTTGGCGCTTGAAAGGTTATTGGCCACAATATATCTGGACACTTACGAGAAGCAGGAATTCTTATGGGTGGTTGGGCTGATGATAGCATCCCAGATCTTTACTTTTATTTTTACTATTTCTGTGTACAAAAGTCGTACGTTTGGTTTTTACCTTGCCCTACCTTACCCTACTTTACCCTACCCTACCCTACCCTACCCTACCCTACCCTACCCTACCCTACCCTACCCTACCCTACCCTACCCTACCCTACCCTACCCTACCCTACCCTACCCTACCCTACCCTACCCTACCCTACCCTAACCTACCCTACCCTACTCTACCCTACCTTACCCTACCCTACCCTACTCTACCCTACCTTTCCCTACCCAACCCAACCCTATCCTCTCCACCTCCCTTCGGCGCCCTACTTTACCTCACCCGTAGATTATACTCTTATACCGTACATTATATTACTCCACCGTATCCTATCGTACGCTACCGTAACCTGCCCTGCGTTGCCTTGTTCTAGATTACTTTGCTCTAACCTGCTCCACCCTACCCTATTTTACTCTCTCCTACCGTACCCTACTGTACTTTAATGTATACAACCGTATCTGATCCTATCCCATACTGCCGTACCCTACCGTATCTTACAGTATACTGCCGCATTTTAAACTACTCTACTCTATCCTAGCTTATCTAACTTTGCCCTATTTTGTCCTAATCTGTCCTATCCTGCCCCACCCTCAATATAAAGTAATTTTTAAAGATGATTTAGAAGTAATGTCAATGTTGACCTGCCTCATCTTAGCCTTTGTTCTTCAAGGAATACCTGCCTATGTAAGTCACCAAACTTTTTTTTTTTTTAATTTAAAAATTTAGGTATTTTACTATTGTCGCAAAGTAAACAACAAAAGATATCTTGAATCCAAGCTTTATCATACGAAACATAAATATACATTGACAGCCATGTATCAATTGTCGGATAACATAAGAGCAATACGATGTATGGTGCCCGGGGGGTTTATTGTGCTGGTGCTGAATTGTATGACAGAAGGCGTAGGTGTTTGTTAATTTTTAAATAAAAGTGCAAGAACTTTCTTTACAAATTCAAAAATGGCAAGAACTTTCTTTACAATGCCTATAATTTCAAAAACTTTTAAAAAAATTATTTTACATTTCAATTTTACAGTCAATAGCCATGGTATGCCTTAGTAATAACGACGATGACAAAAGGTTTTGGTCAAACGCCATAAATCTGATCATTGCCAGTTATGCTTCTATCGCTTCGTGCATACCTATTTATTTCACTGACGTTTATCGAAATCGCGTTAAATAGTACGTTCATTAACTTTTAGTATCAGCCCTTGCCCAAAGCCCTAGCCCAGAGCTCTAGCCCAGAGCCCTAGCCCAAAGCCCAGAGCCCTAGCCCAGAGCCCTAGCCCACAGCCCTAGCCCAGAGCCCTAGTCCAGATCCCTAACTCTGCCTTAACATACTCCACCATACCCTTATCCTACCCTACCCTTAAAACTTTTAAAAACACCTTTCATCGTATAAAATGTCTTTTTCGGAAACATTTTAAAATTTTACATCATTGTAGTACCATACAAACCTTTATTATGAGAATACGCTACGGAAAAGTGTCACCATCAGACAGAAAGAAAAGCCTAAAGACGTTGGGTGGAAAACGAATGATGTTCAATGTCGAAGAAGAAGGCGCCATCTACTTTGAAACGCTGGTTAACTCATGGAAATAAACCTTTACAAATGTAAATTATGTTTTTTGACACAATTACTATGACAATACTTTTAGTAATATAAAAAACATCGTTCCGACAAACCAGAAACTAAATAGTTCATTGAAAATCCAAAGAAAAATTTACGGCGAAAAAAGAAATACACCTGTATTAAACAGAGTTTTAAACAAAACTGTCGAGACGACTTTAAAACAGCAGTTCATTTTTGGTTCGGGTGGATTTTTTAATTTTGGTCTGTACTTTTTTGTAAAGAAAGTTATTACCCTTTTTTTTAAAGAACGTTTTTGTCATTTTTGCCTTGTAAAGAAAGTTGTTGCTTTTTTAACCAAATTTGTGAAACAGTACCATTAAGTAAAGCAAAAACAAGAATATATGGGCCGTTCCCGGAAGTAGGTGCAAGACCGGGCCGACCCTTGCCGAGCGGAAGGCAAGCCTTCGCAACTCAGCTGGTCCCAAAAATCTGTTAATCTCGAATGACTTCAATAGAAGTCGTACCGGAGATTAAACCGATAAGAACAGATACTACACTTTGATCTTAGCCAAAAGGCCGAGAAGCGATACTCCAAATGGCAAGGCGAAGGGTTAGGTTAGGGCTTGCACTTGTTTTACGACTGGGTTTGAAAGAGAGACGAGAGAGAAGAGAGCGGATAGAGAGTGAGAGAGATGGAAAGTAGGGGGGTTGGAGGTTGTTTTTGATTGGTTTTTGAGTTAAAAAAAGTTTTTTTAGCGTTTTTTGGAAAAAAATTAAGTACATACGTGTTGAAAAAATGATAAGGAATAAAAAAAAAATGTAACATCTTAACAAAAAATGACATAAAAAGAACGGCTTTACAATTTTTTAAGTAAAAAAATATTATAAAAAGTGTTTTGAACTCTCTGGTCCGTTTGGTTGCTCATGTGATTGTAATTTTCATGTTCAAGAATACTCT